ATTATCCCCCTCAATCTCCCCCCTGACGTCCTCTTTCAATGACAGAACATATTCTTGTCGTTGATAATTCCAGAACACCCAGGGAATAATATGAGTGTGTACATGGAGCCTCTGATTGATGATTTGGTCCGTGCTTTGGAGGAAGGGGTATGGACATACGACCGAGCTACAAAGACAAACTTCAAGATGCATGTTTGGTACTAGTACTCCCTGCATGACTTGCCGGCATATGGGATTTTTCTGCTGCTAGTGTGTTCACGGGAGGTTCCCATGCCCGGTATGCAAGGCTTCTCTAATGTTCATTTGGTCGACGAAGGGTAGCAAGTATTCTTCGTTCGACAAACATCAGCAATTCCTCCCTCCTGACCATCCATTTAGACTAGACATCAAGAACTTTACGAAAGATGTTGTAGTTAAAGACCCTACACCGCAGATGATGACAGAAGCCGCGGTTCATGATCAGTTAGACGCTCTCGAGGTCAATAAACAAGAAGGTGGTTTTGTGGGATATGGCGAGCAACATGCCTGGACTCATAAGTCATGCTTGTGGAACCTCTCCTATTTTGATGATCTTCTTCTTCCACATAACATTGATGTAATGCACACTGGAAAGAACATCACCGAGGCAATTTTTGGTACAATCATGGACATTCCTGATAAGACAAAGGATAACGTTAAGGCTAGAGTGGATCAAGCGAGGTTATGTGGCAGACCAAAGCTGAACATGGCGCCTCCCAGAGGCGGCAAGTCGTGGAGAAAGCCTAAGGCCAATTTCGTCCTGACGAGGGCCCAAAGGAGGGAGGTACTAGAATGGTTCCAAACGTTAATGTTCCCTGATGGGTATGCAACGAATCTGAAGAGAGGAGTGAACTTAGCTACTATGCGAATCAACGGGCTCAAGAGTCATGATTACCACATATGTCTTGAGCGCCTACTTCCGATGATGGTTCGAGGCTATGTCCCTGAGCATGTCTGGCAGGTGCTAGCGGAGTTGAGCAATTTCTTCCGCTAGCTTTGTGCCAAGGAGTTATCTCGTACCGTGGTTGTAGAAATGGAAAGAATGGCGCCTGTGTTGCTCTATAAGTTGGAGAAGATTTTTCCACCCGGCTTCTTCAATCCGATGCAGCATATGATTCTGCACCTCCCGTATGAAGCATGAATGGGGGGCCTGTGCAGGGCCGTTGGTGCTATTCAATTGAGAGATGTCAACAGGTTTTTTGAACTAAATGTAAAAATAAATGCAAAATTGAAGCATCCATTGCAGAGGCATACATTCTGGAGGAGGTGTCAAACTTCACAACAAAATACTATGCTGACAACCTTCCTAGCGTGCATAATCCACCCCCTCGTTACAATACCGGCGAAGATGAATCAAGCCTTAGCCTTTTTCGAGGGCAACTCGGAAGTGCAAGTGGTGCGACCAACAAGACCTTGAAACATGAAGAGTGGCGCACTATCATGCTATATGTGTTGACCAACCTATCCGAAGTGGAGCCGTACATGCTGTAAGTTCTCAACAAACTTGTTCTCAAGTAGTCACTATTCTATGTCCAACTCCCATGTTTCTCGTTGGTATAGGGAATTTCATCGTCAATTCTGGCGTGAATCAAGGGAGCCTACCCCGCAGGAAGCTGAGACCCTTCTCAGAGAGGGTGCAGGAAATGGAATGCCTGATTTCATTTCTTGGTTCAAACAGAAGGTACAGTCCAATTTAGCTCGTACTTAGTTTGACATTACAAGTTGCTCGTACATGCGAATAATATAATGAACCACCCTACTTGAACTTGCAGGGCCAAACTGATGCGTCTATGAGTGTCGAGTTGAGACAAGTTGTCGATGGCTGTGCCTATAGGGTCAAGTCATTTACCAGTTATGACGTGAATGGCTATCGCTTTCACACAACAAGCCATGAGCAGAGTCGGCCCAATCGAAGAACCACAAATACTAGAGTTTTTACGCCAGGATTAGATGGGGTCGAGTACTATGGAAGAATTGAAGAAATATATGAACTCATGTTTCATGGTTGCAAACCTCTTAATCCAGTCATATTCAAATGCCATTGGTTTGATCCATCAGTAGTGAGACGGACCCCTAATCTTGGGCTAGTCGAAATTCGACAATCATCCGTCTTACCAGGAGACGATGTCTATATTGTGGCTCAACAGGCCACGCAAGTTTTTTATCTCTCATACCCGTGCCAAACCGACGACCGTCTTAAGGGTTGGGATGTTGTGTACAAGGTATCGCCACATGGTAAACTACCTGTACCAAACAATGAAGATTACAACATAGACCCCAACACATATGACGGAGAGTTCTTCCAAGAAGATGGGCTCGAAGGGAGTTTTGAGATAGACTTAACCGAAGCGATCGGAATGGAAGTAGACAATGAAAGGGTTGCTGACGAGGACGCTGGAGACGAGGTTCAGAATGTGAAGGACTTAGAATTACTTCAGCGATTACATTTAGGCAATGACAGTGATGACGACATTCCCGATCATGATGATTATATCGACACACGTGATAGTGATGATGAGACTTATGATCCAGCTAATCCCGATCATGATGATTATTTCTAATACATGTATGAGCCGTACTAATTTATTTATTATTGGTCATATCTTTCTAAGTATGTTTCGTTTATCTGTGCTGATTGGTTTACTCTTTTTAATTGCAGGTGATTGAACAATGGTGGGCGGTACGAGGAAGATCGCGGCGCTTTACGGAAAGAGCGGAGCTTCAGGGTCAGCTTCAGGGAGGGGTCGAGGCAAGGGTGGAGGGAAGGGTAAAGGGAAGGGTAAAGGGGTGAGGCCCCCATCGCCTATAGCTCCCTCATCGTCGTCTGAGGAGGTACCTTCCGCGCACGTCTCTGGTGACGAGGAGGAGGTACCTTCCGCATACGCCTCCGGTGACGAGGAGGAGGTACAGGAGGACCAGGAGCAGGTGGAGGAGGAGGCAGTGGGTCCCAAGGTTTGGTTGCGAGGTCCCTCGACCCTCCCGAGGCGACCGATACCTCTTGAGAGACGCCCGATGGTTCGACCCTCTGGGAAAAAGTGACTTTAGATGTTTTCAATAATTTTTCGTTTGATATGTTGAAAATTACAATGGAAACTAATAATTTATCTTAATCATTTGGGCAGGGGTTGGATTAAGGTTAGTGGGGGTGATCACAACCGCAAGGTCAACGGCATCCTTGGCCTTTTGTGCAGGCTACACTTCCCTGGCTTAGTGCAGTTCCGCGAAGAGCTTCAGCCGGCCTACACGTGGGACCACTATGTCACCGCCCTCGACGCCGCTGATCGTGATGGCAGGGTATTCCCCAACAAGGCGGAGCGGGTGAAGGGCGAGCTGTGGGTAAGTATTCCTCGCACTACATTGCTCAATACATCGCATTCACTAGACATTCTTGAAGTAATGACTGTATACATCGTGTCTATATGCAGGACTTCAATAGATGCCAGGAGGGGTATGAGGCCAAGGCGGCCTCCATCTCTGAAGAAGTCGCCAAGAAGCTCGTGAAGGACATGCACTACGAGGCGCGCGTCCAGGCCATCATCGACTACTATGCTCAACACAGAAGGACGAAGGTTAAAAAAGAAGAGGCAAGAACAATGAACCTGACACGGGAACAATTCTTGCAGGTACATATAGAACATTAATACTTACTTTTTATGAGATTAATTATGCTTAATTTCATTTTTTCATATATCATACACTTGATCACGTAGGTGCCTCCGTACTGGTGCGCCCAGCATGCCCAGTGCTAGGAATACATGGTGGACAAGTGGTTGGAGCCCGGGTGGGTGGAGACGCACAACGCTTGCCGGGACCGGCGTTTGGTGATGCCACGTGCATCACACCATCAAGGCAGCCTAAGCCTCGACGAATATAGGGGAAAATGGGTACGCGAATTTATTTCTTTATTCTAACGCTCAATTCTGCATAATTTCTAATTATTTTTCTTTTTTGCCGCAGTCGTCATCATATGATGGCTAGCCTTGCTCCCAGTTCAAGGCTGGGTTATGTCATAAAAGGGCAAGGCGACGTCAAACCTCGACTTCAACTCGGAGGACCCGCCCGAGGCGTACAACGATCCCAGCATCCACAGCCGCGTCAGTGAGTATACAGCGATGGCAAGGCAGGTTCATGGGCCACAGTTCGATCCGAGCACCCAGGATCTTGATGGAGAAATCGTGATGAGGGTGGGAGGAGGCAAGAAGCATGGCTGGTACTGGATTGGTGACAGTACACTCGACACAGCCTCTACTCCCACTCTCTCCCAGATCCAAGCAAGGAGCACGAGCTCGAGCCCGGCGATACGCCCACGGCCAACCACTACACAGTTCCAGATGGAGGCTCTAAAGGTTATTTCTGTTTTGTTCATCGTTCGTTGATTGTTACGTACTTTAGCTTTGCATTATAACATTGGGATGAAATGTTATAGACCCGGGTGAAAGCAGAAATGAAGCAACGGGAGGAGATGGAGGCGAGGATGGAGGAGATGGAGGCGAGGATGGTGGCCGAGCGGCAAAGGATGGAGGAAGAAAATCGGTTGAGGATGGACCAAATGTTCCAATACATGCAGAATTTTGCATTGAGTATGGGTCAACCTTTGCCACCGCCACCGATGCTATTCCCTTCACCTCAGCCACCCACAACTACTCATGTGAGTCACTTGACACTTCAGTTCTTGAAACTTCATATCAATACATAATGCTAAAGTAAACTGTATTTCGGGGATCATATATAAATAAAAGAACCAGAAAATAATGACTTCTTACAAGAAAGATGAACAGAAACCAACCACAACAAACATTTACGTTATATGCATGACTGTAAGTTTCACAAGCATGTATTTCTTCAGTATGCACTTAGCGTCAAATGAAACATTTACTGCTGATATAGCTCATTGTGTCTGCAAGTAGATTTGTTTTTTTGATATAAATTGCTTTTCATGGACCAGCTAGTATTTTACTGCTTTTCATGGACCAGCTAGCTAGCTACTCGCTATTAGGTAAGCATAACCAGTAGGCACAGAACTTTGGCAGATCACCATCAACTGATGAAATTCCCTCACTCTCACCAGCTACAACAATAGCTCTAGAATAGAAAGATCCACGTAGATAAGCTTGTGATATGGCTGCATTGCCTGGTTCAGTGCTGAGTTCAACCTTGCTGATCGAGTAATTTTGATAAAAACTCCAAAGCTACATTATCCATGAAAAGCTCATCACCAGAGACATTTTAGTAGCTAGGGTTCTGCAACTCCTCAAGTCTATTGAAGAGAAATGATGCACCCCAACTGAGCAGACAATGGCTCAGGCTAGGGGTTATATTCAGGATATTGCTATCCAGAATATGATCATGCTTTGCAAGAATAAGAGCTTTTTCTTCCACTGTACAAGACAAATAAAAACGAAAAATAGGCACAGGTTCAGACTGTGACTCCATGCTGACCTTCTGAAGGGCTCTCAAGTCATTCATGGGATTCCAGTCATTGAACATATTCATTGCTGTCTGTTTCTTTTGCAGTAGCAATCCACGTTCCACACGTTCATATGACTCGTAACCAAATCTCTGACGAACAAAGTCATCCAAAATGTCACCCATAGGGTTGCCAGATCCACCACCAGACTACCACAAAAAATAAAGTTGAATAAGATTGGACCAAAGGCATTGTTAATACAATAACTGGAGAATACAGCAGCATCATAAGCATAAGTAATCTAGTGTCACAATAACAAATCAGAGCTATTCAAAACAGATGACCAAAATAATCAATGTGGGCATCTACTTCAAAAAAACAAATGCGTGTTAGAAATTAGAATTAAATCAACTACATCTTTTCTGTTATTCTTAATTTTGTAACTGAGGCAAGTTAGATAACTAAACAGTATCACTCAGTTATTTGACAATAAAATTAGATGCTAAGTGTGCATAAGCTAGATACCTTCTTGGAAAATTTGGAAAAATGAAAGAAACTGCACAGGTAGCCATAAGGTAGGAAAATAATTAAAAATCAGGGGATGCAAAAATTTCAGGCTTAGGTAGTACTCCCTCCATTCCAAACTGCACAGGAAGCGTGATACCATGGACATCTCACCTGCGAAAGAATAAGAACTCTAAGACCTTGAATCTTGATATGTTGGAGCATTCTGTCAAGAAGCAGCAACTTGCCACGTGAACGCATTAGTGTTGCATGTTGTGATTACAATTACAGTATGTTGTAGATGCACACCTTTCGATACTGAAATTCACTTTGCAATATGAAGTCTAACACTGTTAAAAAGGAAGCTAACACTGTTTCGAATACTTCTCTTTTGTGCAAAATCAATCGGCGGCATCAAATAATCAGTCTCAAGACTCGGATTTGTCGCAGAGGTTCAAAGGGCCTCCGCAATGATTGTATTTGCATTTGTGGCTTATTGTGACTTAGTTGTGACTTGTGATGATGGTTTATTGTAAATTGTGATGATGGTTTATTGTGACATGTGATGATGGTTTATTGTGAATTATGATGATGGTTTATTACCTGTGACATATAATTATGCCTGTGATGATGTTTTATTGTGAATTGTCATGGTTTTTTGTGAATTGAGAGGGGTCCGTTATATGTGACAGATTAGTAAAAAAGGGGAGTCTTGGTCGCTTTGCCGAGTGTAACACTCGGCAAGGATTTGCCGAGTGTCAAGGCAAAACACTCGGCGAACAGACCATTTTCTGTCATTCTGGGAACCTTCTTTGCCGAGTGTTTTGGCTTTGCCGAGTGTATTCCAATGGACACTCGGCAAAGTGATCATAAAATCTGACCGTTGCTCGCTTGTTTGCCGAGTGTTTTACGCGTGGCACTCGGCAAAGCGTCTAAACTTTGCCGGGTGTTTTCGTCTTGACACTCGGCAAACTTGAGAAACTTTGCCGAGTGTTTTCGTGTTGACACTCGGTAAAGTTGAGAAACTTTGCCGAGTGTTTTCTTCCTGACACTCGGCAAACTTGAGAAACTTTGCCGAGTGTTTTTCCGTCGTGCACTTGGCAAAATCGACGTCACCGTTCCATCCCGTCAAATTTTTTTTGCCGAGTGTTTATTGACACTCGGCAAACTGTTTGCCGAGTGCCCGATAAAAAACACTCGGCAAACTACTGTTTGCCGACAAATCAATGACGTGTGTTGTATGCCGAGTGTTACACTCGGCAAACTACTGTTTGCCGACAAATCAATGACGTGTGTTGTATGCCGAGTGTTACACTCGGCAAAACGTTTGCCGAGTGCCCCTGGCACTCGGCGAATCTACTGTATCCCGTAGTGGACTATAGATGCTGTATATATAGAGCTAGCCGCCTCTAGAAGTAGAATTTGTAGAAACGTCGGACAACAACAGCAGTCTTTATAAATCGTTTTTTCAGAAATGGTTGTTGTTACGGGCCACCTTTACAAATTCTATTTCTAGATACGATCATACTCGTTTTCTAGAAATCACCGATCAGACCAAAAATAGCAATTTTTTTAATATGGGGAGTTCCCCCACGAGGCAGCCACACGTACGCGACATCATATGTCACAAGTCGCGCGATCTATAGGGTCCGAACCCACGGTTTTTCATAATTCATATACGACAGGACAGAGTGAGAATAGTAGGTATCTTTGGCAAGTCGCCAATGGTCTCCAACTCTCCATCCTATTACCACTATAAAAATACCTGGTCACTCGCCACAACTCATGGATCCATCTGACCATCTCACACAAAAACTTCATTTTTGTCCAGTCGTCTAGCAATATGGAGTACTCGTCTATGTGTCTAGCTCTGGCGTTGGCCGTGGTGGCGGCCACGCTCGCCGTGACGCCGTGCGCGGCCCAGAACTCACCGCAGGACTTCGTGAACCCGCACAACGCATACATACGTACTACGTACATGCATGTCCAGATGGATATATATTGTGTACATGCTACCGGAGTTGAATAAGACGCAAACTAAGCTTAGCCCACAAGGTTGATTAGGTTTGTTGTGAACCTACTCACCCAGGTTTAAGTGAAGTGTGCATACATGTATGTTTTATATTTATACTTCTATGTGGGGTGTCACAGTTTGTATCGTGTTTCATAAAATAAATAAATAAATAATAAGACCGATCGTGAGCAAGATAGAACTCTTGAATTCCCACCGTCTGGCATGCATGGAATGCCCACAGTCTGAAAGCTAATATCGAGAGCTGGGTTCATAATTCCCCCCATTTCTATTTTACTGTATTATAGGATTATGCCTATATGTGTTGCAACGAGAAAAAAAGATAATACTGAGATAATTTAAGTTTAAGTTTATGTTGTACTATTATCAAAATACGATATTTTGAGCAGGACGTTCCTACCATTCTGTTTGTAAACAGGTCTACTATGCGTCATGGGAAATTGTGAGGAAAAGGAGTCTGAGGTTGTTGGACCTATGTTGGGTGGAGTCCAATTTCTAGTTGTCACATATATTCTCAACTAAAGCCCAATAGCCATTTGCCCTTTCCCTGCTAGCCCAATACTCATTCTCTCTCTATCCATGTCGTGACTTCTCCCTTCTTCAACATCCAGCCAGAGCTGCAGTCATTCTAACTTCCCTTCCATGTGCCAGAAAAAAATGGTTGGGGGGAGGGGAGGGGGCTCGAGCCCCCCTATGCTGGATCTGCCTCTGGTTGCCTGCTTCCTACATGTTGAGATCCCACAACTCGGTGGTGCACTAGTGCTCCATCAAGGGGTACCAGGACACCCTCAGTATGGACACTGGATCGGTGGGAGGCTGTTGTGTGTGTGATATGCGGATCGGTCTCAAATAATATGTAAGTTACTTTCTTCAGGAAGCCTAGTAGCTATAGTATTTATTTTCCAATAAAACTTACGAGTCCTACATGCTTGCATGCATCAGTTCTAAGCTTTTCAGGTACTATCTTAATGGCCCTGTGCGTGGTCTATAGCTCTATATATGTAAGGAGATTTAGGAAGGAAAACAGTTTTTGGAGATAATAAAATTACTTGCTATCATTGGTGACCACTAGAAGGGAATTGTGAGTTACAATTTCATCTAGTTTTATCTGTCTTGTTCGTGTGCCTCTTGTATTGATCTACTTGTTAGTTCTAATCCACTGCATCAGTGTGTCGGTGTGTGTGTGTGTGGGGGGAATGGCCCCTTTTTGCCTCGATGAAGCTCCACCTAGGGAGGTAGCAGCGCGCTGTTGGATAATGAAGGGAGAGGATGGTTCACATGCATTGCTATGTTTTTTTTTTGTTCAGCATCAATCACTTTTGAAACACTCATTTAATCCCATTCTAATTTTTGAATTTATATTAGGATTTTTTGGTCATAATGAGGATGCTTCACTTATGGCATTTAATCTCTAGCATCGAGAGGTATAGTTCACTTTGCATCCAATCCTTAGCGCCATGACCCTGAAAGCAAGTATAATAGATGAAACATTTGTAAGAGCTATCATATCATCAGATTGGTGCCGAACTGGAGAAGAGAAGAGAAGAGAACTGTAGACCTATAGCTAGTTGAGGCATGGGCTTCCAGTTACTTTGAGAGAATAAGGTGTTCCATGTATTAATGATGTATAATATGTATCACTAGCTAACTTATATGGGTGGGGGTGGGTTGTAAGATTGGGTGAAAATGATATAGCAATAAGATAAAGCCACAGTTGTGTGCGAGCCCATGTTTTATTTGAATTTGCAGATCTTACAAAACTAAAAAGGTATTCGTGCAAGCAGTCCATAACCTCTCTATACATGAGGTTAAGAAACCTCCTGTTAGGCTGTGACTCAAGGTTCATAGAAATCATGTCTTTACAAATACCATTCCTATAGGCAGTTCCTTAGATGGACAACCCATAGACGAAATAAATTCAAAAAATAGCGTAAAAATAATATTGCTGTAGTAGGCCCAGAAATAATCATTACATTCATCATAAGATATATTGCTGTATTATGCCCATTTGTTATTGCGAATGTTGATACAACTTTCTAATAACTTGGTCCCGCTTAAAAGTGTTTAACCTAGGGCAACTAGAAGTACTTCCTTTATGAGATGGGTGGATTAGTAGTTATAGCTTAAAACTAGTTTTGAGATCTACCCTTTCTTGTTAAAAAAATATTGTTGTCACATTTAACACTAAATGGTGTTTAATATACATCACTGATCACTAATATCTTGTGAAATATATTCTTAATAATTTCTTAGATCTTGCAAATATTTTTAATACTATATATATTACATGTTTTAAACTAAGTAATTTAATAATATAGTCATTGATGTCTGTAATTTATAATGTTTGACCAAATTTTACTCATGACAAGTTTATTTAGCTTAAAATAGACCAAACTAAATAATATTCTTTATGAAATGATGGATTAGTAGTTATAGCTTAAAATAAAACAAGTTTGAGATATACTCTTTGTGGTTAAAAAAGTTTTGTGACATTTAACTCTACATGGTCTTTAATGTATATCTTTGATCACTAATATCTTGTAGAATATATTCTTAATAATATATTGGATCTTGCAAATATTTTTTAATACTATAGACATGTGTATATGATATGTTTTCAAACTAAATAATTTAATAATATAGTTATTGATGTCCGTAGCTTTCAAAGTTTGACCAAATTCAATTTACTCATGACAAGTTGCCAAGCTGTCGTCCAATCCATTGCTACCACAGTACCGCTATAAAAATAGGGGGCCATACTCGCCACTACACTCATGCATCCATCTCACACAAAAACTTCATTTTTGTCCAATTGTCTCTAGCAATATAATGGAGTCCTCGTCTACTAGGGTCGTGTGTTTAGCTCTGGCATTGGCCATGGCGGCGGCCACGGCCACCGTCACGGCGTGCGCGGCCCAGAACTCGCCGCAGGACTTCGTGAACCCGCACAACGCGGCGCGCGCGGCCGTGGGACTGGGAGTAGGCCCGGTGTCGTGGGACGACAACGTGGCCGCCTTCGCGCGGAGCTACGCGGCGCAGCGGCAGGGCGACTGCAAGCTCGTGCACTCCGGGCCCAACAACCAGTACGGTGAGAACCTCTTCTGGGGCAGCTCCGGCAAAGCCTGGACGGCGTCGGACGCCGTCGGCGCGTAGGTGGCGGACCGGCAGTACTACCACCACGGCCGCAACAGCTGCGCGGCGGGGAAGGTGTGCGGCCACTACACGCAGGTGGTGTGGCGCGACTCCAGCGCCATCGGCTGCGCTCGCGTCGACTGCAACAACGGCGGCGGCGTCTTCATCACCTGCAACTACAACCCGCCGGGCAACTACGTTGGAAGGAGCCCCTACTAGCTAGCTGGCAAGTGCATGCATGCGGTCATGCAGAGTGTGTTCGCCTGCAATTGCATGCAGAATTGCAGAGTGTGTATGCATGCATCTGCATGCAGAGTGTGTCGTACGTGCTTCTTATGTATTCATCCTATATATTATTCTCTCCGTATAAAAATAGTAGTGTATGCATACCGGAGAGCATAATAATCTGTAACATGCATACTAATAAATAAATAAATGATGAGAATAACCATTTTTCACTATTCCATCGGTCCCAAAATAAATAATGCTTTTGACTTTTATATATCACGTGTGACCATTTGTCTTATTTAATTTTTATGTAAATAATATATTTTATAAATAATTGAATAAGACGAACAGTCAAGATACTAAAAGTAAAAAATATCTTGTACTTTTGGGACGGATGGAGTATTTTACTATTGTTCCTAAAGAGGAGGTTATTTTAACCAATGACAATCTATATAGCAAGAAGAAATTAGAACAAGAATAAAACTCTGTGTGTTATATATATTGTATGCCTTTTTTATTGTATTTATGTTAAATTAGACAAAAGTTTATGCATCTCTCCCACCGCAAGCTGGCCAACACCATGCACCGTACTGCTTGTCCGATGTTTTGACTTAAAGGTTTTGTCGTCTATGGCTACTGGTGTAGGGAGCTTGTATAGTGCTAGATTAGTAGTGTATACTTGACAAGTCCAAGATGATGTTGTGCATGCGCGTATTGACGAGGTCCAATTCCAACCATTAAACGTTTGCGGACACTCTGCCCATGGCCCTGCCATTCGACAGCCTCCGTTAAAAGGGTGGCGTGCCTTGCTGGTGTAGTAGTGAGTGTTGTTTCGTTATTGTTTCGTTGTGTCGTCGAGTTTAGGATTGTTCCTTTTATTATTATTATAATTCCGTTTGACATTAAAAAAACCTGAAGTTTATCGGTACTAGCTGGATCCTGCTGCCTATATTAATATCCACAATCGATTCAGGTATTGCGTTGAATTGAAAGAAATATTTCTTATGCCATTTCACTTTCTACAACCATACAATTCTAGAACAATGCACAGATAGCCATCAGCCATGGCTTCATGGTTTTCTATCCTTGTAATCCAACTTGGATTTGTTCTAGGAGAAAGCGTTTTGGATAAAATTACAAAAGAAATACCCCTTCTTGATTAGAAATATCGAGTTTGGAGGTTGTGCACGGGCCGGGCTTAATTTTGATTGCTCTTAGAGGCTGCACTGGCCTTCCTTGTGAAAATTCGCGGAGGTTTGTAGCCCACCCCCATTGTTGCTAAAACTGCTGCTGGTGATGGAAGTGGAGCCAGGGCAGCCCAACAGATGTCTACTCTAGGCCCGGTCTTCATGAGTACTACATACTGCAGTGCAGCGGACCAAAACAATTAAATGCACTTGAAGAGAAGAGAAGTTTACGCATGCTGTCTCAATAATTCTGTATATGAGTTCGAGCTGATAATGAATTGATCAACGTAGGTAAACCTCATATTTCCGTAAGTCCAGTCTCAGTCAAGATTTTATCTCACTGTTTCCAATACTCCCATACATCGGAAACCGTGTGAATAAGTTTCATCATCCTGGAACTCATTTCATCCCATCAAACTTTTATCATAGCTCTGTTAATAAATACTATACTACATTAGCTTATTTAATGCTCATAAAACTTATGAAACCCTCCATTGAGACTGGCCTAAGCAATAGTATCCATATCCATGTGTACATACAAGTCTACAATGCAAGACTGTTAAGCGATGAGCTTAAATAACTAATTAAACTTATTACATCCACACATGTCAATGACTGTAACCATCGATATGATCAACAAGAGGCTTGCTGTAGTTATATATGCAGGAAACCTCGATCCAAGGGTGACTAATGCATGAAAGAGACCCAAACCAAAGGCTACGTACGAGAAGTACAAAGCGTATACGCAAGGGCCAAGGAGATCCAAACTAATTGAACTAAAGTGTTGACACGCAAAAATGTCCCAAGGTGGTTTTAAGTACCATAAACAAGTTATAAACATCTTGGACATGTTGGAGATCAAGTGGTGCGACAAAATAGCAAATGAAACGCGCGGAGAAGACGGCGAGCCACGGTGAGCCAGCCCTAGTCGGCTTAGCTGGATTCAGCAGTCGGCTTAACCGACCAAGGCAGCCCCCAGTCGGTTTAGCCGACTACCAGAGTCGGCTAAGATGACTCCTCTTCACCAACTGACCAAGCACTTGCCTGAGCCCACAAAAATTGGCTTAGCCGACTCCCCCTGTCGGGTAAACCGACTCATGCCTGGAAACCGACTAGGTTAAGGCTAAAAGTCGGTTTTAGGTAATTTTTGACGTGAAAAACTTGGAGAACGCGTCTTGAAGATGTTTTCTACTAGGATAAGACCACCCCCCTCTATATATATATGAGAGGATCACGACTGATTGAGTTCCCATCTATCCAATCGTAAAAAACACAACATACCAACTCCTTTTGCCCTAATTCCCCTCTGTCAGCCCCTCCTGCTGTTCGGCACGTTTCCCGACGAGATTTGTCGGCATCCTAGGTGGCCTTGCTGGTCCTAGAAGATCCTCCACGTGCTCCGCCCCGATGGTCTTCCCAGGAGTAGTTCGGGAGTGTTTTCAGCCAAGAAACAAGCTCTACATCGGCCTTATCGGTCTCCAGATCGGTTTGGTCGATTACACTGCATTCTTGCTGCGTTGCAGGTTGTGTGCAACCTCTTTGGGCGTCCAAAGCCCTTGCTGGTGTGTTGGCTTGAGGTCATCTTCAACGTCAACATACTTTTTGGCGACTCCGCTGAGGAAAGCGAAGAAAATCAAGAACCAATGTACTAGCAACATGGGAGGCAACGATGGTGCTGCCACCGACAAGGGTGACAAGACCAGCCCTTTCAATGAGTCTAACATGATCTTCCCTCAAAACATGGATGAGCTTCTAGATGAGTTACGCCAGAAGCTACAAGCCAAGCTCAATGCCGATGTCAAGGCTTTCTTGGAGAGCTGCACCAAGAATCGGCATGACAGGGTTACTCGATTCCGTGAACCCGCCTACGGTGATGCTACTACTTCCACATCTCCAGGCGCCGGGGAGAAGGGAGACGGAAAAGCTAAGTATGATGAGGAAGTAAATACTGATGCTTATCCTACTCATGCCAATTTTGCTCAGATGTTGATAGATGAAAGGAATTGCATAATAATAATCTTCAGCATCTTTTTTTTTACTTCAAGCACGTATGGATAAGTTAGAAGGCAAGATTGGTATGCCCTTAAATTTTTATGAAAATCAAACCTCGCATGCATCTGCTAGCCAATTTCAATCGGCCCCTTCGACATTTGAAACCGATAAGGCCGGTCAACCTGGTGCTAACACATCTACACGTATAGGTGCTGGTGCACAAACTTTGAGTCATGCTCTTGGAACCAATTATTGAGCATCAGCAAATAGAACTTCGGCGGGGCATAATGTTTTACCGAACCCACCGAAGTCACATAGTCAAATTCCTACATTTAATGTTACTCTTAATGCTCCTACTACTGATTTTGATGATGCTTTGAATCCGTTTAAGGAAGAATTGGCAAAATCTATTGAAAGTAGCTTAGGAGTGCAACTTAAATCTAGTAGAATACTTATCAAAAGGTGTACCCTTCTACTTATGATTTTATGAAAGCACCTGATGAGTGGAGGGTACCTGATTTTCAAAAATTTAGTGGTGATGATAGTAAATCAACCATGGAGCATATTAGCATGTTTCTTGCGCAATTGGGTGAAGCTAGTGCTTATGATTTTATGAAAGTTCATAATTTCCCTTTATCTCTTACCGGCACAGCTTTTGCATGGTTTACTTTATTACCATCTTGTTCTATTGGTTAATGGGCTGAATTAGAAGAGAAATTTCATAATCACTTTTATAGCGGTGCTCATGAAACTAGATTGTCTCACCTTGCATTGGTTCGTCAGGGGTGTGATGAGTCCGTCCATGATTTTTTCAAATGATTTAGAGAGATTAAGAACCGATGTTTTCATTTAAATATTTCTAAAAGAGATTTAACTGATTTATGCTTTACTGGTTTACGTTCTAGCATTAGAGAAAAGCTTGAGCATTATGAGTTTCATAATGTCAATCAACTTTTGCAAAAGGCCGTTTCAATTGAATCGTGCCTTAAAGAGTCTCGTGATGCTTATAATTCTCATCGTCAGAATGTGCATTTTGTTGGTGATTGTTTCGATGATTCTGATGATGATAATAAAGAATTTTTAGCTGCTGAAATTAAATGGCTAGCAGAAAAAAAATTGGTTACTTGTCCTTCTCTCAAGCCGATTCATAAGAATCGGAATGAGGAAACGAATTTTACTTTTGATTTCTCTAAATCGACCAAACTTTTGATGAATTGTTGAAATTCGGTAATATTAGAATCAATTATACATTACCTTCAGCTAATGAGTTAAACAGAAGGGCTTATTATAAATATCATAACTCTTTTTCTCATGCCACTAATGATTGCAATATTTTTCGTCGGCAGGTCGAATCGGCACTTAATGAGGGACGATTGAGTCTTACTGAGATGCAAGTTGATAAGACCCCTTTTCCCATGCATATGGTGGAAGCAGGGGCACCCGCAGTTTTGATTCGTCCAAAGCAAGCCGATACAACTCAAGGCAAGAATGTGATTATCGATGAACCACGTGTAGCACCGAATGTCCAAAAAAATTTGGGGCGCAAGGTGGTGCTTGAGAGGGGTGATGAAGGGAAGAACAAGTTGACGATCATCGCTGGATCAACGCAATACT